GGACTGGCTATAAAATGTCACTATATATGACTCGTTCCGGCACGTGCACTGGCTATACTTGCTCGCTAATTGATTGGTCGTCTTATAGTAGGACCCCGAGCCGCCTTGAACAGGTCAAAGTTGGATGGAGTCCACCATGAAGCAGGCGAGGAAAGAATACGAAGAGCAAGTGAGTGGCGGAGTCCAGCGGGTCCCGGAGGAATGCCTGGAGAAGGCCATCGGCCTGACCTCGCCGGCCGATGCCTGCCGCGCCTCCGCGGTGTCGGCCGCGTTTCAATCGGCGGCGGACTCGGACGCCGTGTGGGAGCGGTTCCTGCCGCCGGACTGCGACGCCATGCTGGAGCGAGCCGTCCACCTCGTAGACTCCTCCTCCAAAAAAGATCTCTTCATGGAACTCAGCGACGAGCACGTCCTGCTCGACGACGGCAAGAGGGTGAGTGCTGAATTTCCTGATGACAAAAAGGCAACCGATCTGCTTTTCTTTTTTAAAATAATCCCTCCATTCCATAATATAAGATGTTTTTGCTAGCTACTTTAGGTTGCAAAAACGTTTTATACTGACGGACGGAGGGAGTAGCAATAAATCTGGCTAATTATGGGTATGTGCTAGAGTTTTGGGCTCCATCGATCCACCGGAGCCAAGTGCTACATGCTGTCAGCAAGCGAGCTGGCAATCGCTTGGGGTAAAATCGATCTTTACTTGAGAGAGAGGTTGGACCCGGATTCAAGGTAATTCGACGCTTGCGTTTGCACATACAACCATACCATTTAAATTTGAGGTTAGTTGGCTTGAGTTTGTTAACATGTAAATTGTTGTGTTCATTTGTTGTTTGACAAGGTAGGTTCCCCATGGTCGCGGAGCTTATTTCGGTCTGCTGGTTCAGCATCTTCGGCGTGATCAATAGCAGGGAGCTCTCTCCCAGCACCCACTACGCGGCCTACCTCGTCTTCAAGCTCACTCACGATGCCTCTGGCCTCAGCTCCCGCAGTCAGATATCATACGTTGAGGTAGGCGGCCAAGTGGTGGGGAGCGCCCGCACGGCGTCTTTCCATCCATGCAACCGTGCTTCCTGCAGCGGCGCCGCCATCGAGGAGGCATCATCTTCAACGATGAACGACAATTGCGCCGTGAATCAGCCACATGAGCACAAGGAGGAGGACGAAGGAGGCATCGTGAGGTACCCGCGCGAGAGGGTCGACGGCTGGCTGGAGCTAGAAATGGGCGACTTCCACACCGGCACAGGTGATGACTTTTCTTAGATTTAAGATAGAATATATTTTTGTTGTTTTGTCGCTCTTCCCGCGGCCTCTGCACCGAGTTGATGCACACGGTCAACAACGCAACGCAGGTGATGACGCGGGCGTGGATGTTCGCATGGAACTGCACGAGTTCGAGGAGCTGCAGTGGAAGAAGGGGCTCATCCTCGAAGGAATTGAGATAAGGCCTAAGAATTAATTAATATGATTGGTATATCTCTGTGTATCATATACTGTATGTAGGGATTGGAGTTGCTTAATTACCAGGAAATTTATGTCTGCCTTTGGGTGATGAGCTATAATCGCATAGTTGTGGTGCTCAAAATACGTATAGTACACTTGATGGTGTGTAATTAAATAATGGGAAAAGTATATTTTTCGTCCCTTAATTTTTTCGATAGTCTAGAAATGGTCCCTCAACTCTAATACCAGCAAAATCTAGTCCTTCAATTGTTAAAACCAGATATTTTTCATCTCTTGGGTTGCTTCGGGTGGTTTTGTGCTGACTTGACAACGTTTTGACCATTGACTTCGCCACCTCATTGTCACCTCAGCTTCATCTTCTTCCCCCTCTCGCTCTGCCCACCGAAGCACCTCACTGCCTGCGTCTGCTCCTACCGCCGCCTCCGTGTGCTTCGTGTGGTGGGATGCACGTGCACTTCTCCATTGCCTTCGCTGACAGGGGCATGGACTGGGAGTCTGGGACAAGAGGCTGCTCGCCAATGTCGCCACGGCGGAGTCCGTGCAAGCCCAGAGCTTATCCACCTCCGGCAAGTGCGTTTGTGTCATGCACTGGGAGCGCACAGGCCACGGGGCGGAGCTCGGCCTTGGCACATGGCAACTGTTCGACGGAATGCCCGCTAGATGGGAAAAAAGGAAGACGATGAGAAAGAAGAAGGTGAGGTGGCCACGCCCTGGAAGCCAGTGTCGGCACATCCACGGCGCACACATCCCGGACGCCATTGCACATGCCACCTCGGGCTCCGGCGTGTGCAGCAGCAGCAGGCTGAGCACGTCTGCGTGGCTCGCGGGACCGTCGAATGTCGTCGCGGTGCCGACAACCAGTCTGTAGACGAGCCTTTGGCATTCATAGGCAGTCTTCGTGTGCGTGTTGTGTTTCCACTTTCCAGCTTTTTTTTGAGGGCAAAACAAAGCTTTATAACTTAACGGTGTACGGGCAAATTGCCCGAAACACAAACAGCCACAGCGGGCGGTACAGAAGAGTTCCAGCTAATGCTGTTGTTCGGCAAGCATAAACGACCAATTTTTGCAAGTTCATGCGCTAGGGTATTAGCACTACGGCGACACACGCTAATAGAATGTTGTGAGAACCACACTTTGAGATGGAACTTAGTGTCTTCGATGATGGCCGCATGAGGTGACGAATCCACTTTGGTGAGCTCGAGTGCTTCGGACAGTAGCTGTGAATCTATTTCGAAGATCACCCGAATAGCACCAACCTCCGAAGCCATTGAGACAGCTTCAGACATGGCAATGGCTTCCGCCGCGAAGGGGTTAGCAGCGTGCTCCTTCCGGCCAGCGCGGGCAAGCAGGACTTCCCCCGCATTATCTCGGATCACTACCCCCCAAGACACAAAGGACTCGCCGGAGTGTAGGCGCCATCTATGTTGATCTTCACTTTGTCCTGAGCCAGTGCTTGCCATTTGTCCTCCTGTTTGTGCTTTGGCTTCGCACAAAACAACTGCATATATTCCTGTGTATTACTTAGGACTCGCCGGATCAATTCTGACCTAGGGACCGGTAGCTCCCCTTCTCTTATCTTGTTTCTGTGGTTCCACCAGTGCCACCAAAATGTGAGGATCTGCACTCGTAGGTATTCCTCCAACGACCATAAAAAATCTTGCATGTCATGTACTGACGAGATCTGTTCGAGCTCCATTCTGATTCGTTCTAAGCTCATCTCCCTCCAGACGGCCTTGACCTCCTTGCATTTGACAAATAAGTGAGCACCATCTTCCGCCGCTAAGCCACACAGGAGGCACTTGGTAGATTCGAGCTTAACACCCCGTTGAGCAAGGTTTGTCCGCAAAGCAAGAGATTCATGCTTGATCCTCCATGTGAACATTTGGATCTTTCGCGCTGTTGGCAACTTCCAGATCCGCTTCCAGGACACATCATCGCAACGATCCAAGTTGCCGGCACCGACTGCACTGCTACCCGAGCCACCACCGCGCCCTTGTTTCTCCAGTTGAACTTGCAACTTATATGCGCTCCAAACTGAAAACTGCCCCTTGCTGTCAAAATGCCACGCCGTGAAATCGTCAACCCCTTCCCGGAGTGGAATCTGAAGGATATGGCGTGCGTCATCTGGCCCAAAAGTTTCCTTGACAAGATCTTCATCCCAGCCTCCTGTTAGAGGACTGATGAGGTTGCTAACATATGATAACAAGCTCTGTCCGCGCGGGGTGATAACTTGTCTCGACCAAGGTCTGGGTATCCAGGGATCGGTCCACAACTTCACCTTCGATCCATCCCCTACCCTCCAAATATACCCCTGCTTGATAAGTTCGAGTCCTCTGAGTATACTCCGCCAGGCGTAGGATATACCATCCCTCGGTACCGCTTCCAGGATGCTGCAATTTGGAAAATAGCGAGCTTTCAGAATTCTACTACACGGGCTATCTGGATTTTGTAGTAACCGCCATCCTTGTCTGGACAACATGGCGATATTGAAGTTGTGCATGTCCCGGAACCCCAGCCCGCCCAATGCCTTTGGTTTCGTCAGTGTTTCCCAACTAAGCCAGTGCATAGTGTTCTCTTTATCTTGGTTACTCCACCAAAACCTCCCTATGATGGTATTCAACTCCTGGCAGAAAGTCTTCGTGAGATCGAAACAGGACATGGCGAACGTCGGGATCGCCTGCGCCACAGCCTTTACCAAGGTTTCCTTTCCGCTTTTCGCCAACAGTCTCTCTTGCCAACCATGCACCCTACCACATAAGCACTTCTTTATGTATGCAAACGTATGCCTCCGGGAGTGGCCGACATGAACAGGCAGGCCAAGATATCGATCATTCCACTCTTCACTGACAATCTGCACCTTTGCCTTGACCTGGTTCTTTACTTGTTCATCCGTGTTGGGAGAAAACATGATCGTAGATTTCTCCGTGTTGATGCACTGGCCTGAACAGTTTTCATAGAGCTCGAGGATGTCGTGGAGAGCAGCTGCTTCCTCCTGCTTCGGCTTTAACAAGATCACCGAATCATCGGCAAACAAAAGATGGGACACACTCGGCGCTTGTTGGCAGATTTTGACACCACTAATTCTTCCCTGTTCCTCAGCGTCATTAAGAAGTGCAGATAAACCCTCAGCACAGATCACAAATAGATAGGGGACAAGGGATCCCCCTGCCTCAACCCTCTGATCGGCACAAATTGATCCGTGAGAACACCGTTCACCTTAATTTGATATCGTACTGTTGCGACACACTTCATGATGAGGTTCACCCACCTCCTTCGAAATCCCAGTTTTAGTAGCATAGCCTCAAGAAATCTCCACTCAACCCGATCATATGCCTTACTCATATCCGCTTTGATCGCTGCAACACCATCTCGCCCTCCTTTTTTATTCCTCAGGAAGTGTGTTATCTCATAAGCAATCAACACATTGTCCGTGATCAACCGACCGGGGATGAAAGCACTTTGGTTTTCCGAAATAATATCAGGAAGCACAACCTTTAGGCGGTTTGCGAGCACTTTTGATACCAGCTTATACAGAACATTGCATAGACTTATAGGGCGCAGATCTTTGATCCTGGTTGGATCCTTGACCTTGGGTATAAGTACCACAAGCGTGTCATTCCAGCCTTCCGGCATGTCACCACCATTCAGCACGCCCAAAACTTCTTCGACAATGTAATCTCCCATAAAATGCCAACTTTTCTTGAACACTACAGCTTGCATGCCATTCGGACCTAGAGCTTTGAGGTCCCCAATATGATCTAGTGCCGCCTTCACCTCCTCTCGAGTAAAGGCAGCATCCAGAACATTAAGCATGGCGGTGGTGACTCGCGGTTGCACCTTGTCAATAAGCTCATTGACTCGGTTACCGGCAGTAGCCGTAAAAAGATCCTGAAAATAAGAGCAAACATAGTTAGTTAAGTCTCCCTCCGCCACCACTGACCCATCCTCCCTTCTAAGCTCCTTGATCTTATTCGCCTTCTTCCTCACAGACGCCATCATATGGAAAAACCTAGTATTTCTATCCCCCTCCAGCAGCCACCACACATGGGCTCTTTGCTTCCACATCGTATTCTTCTTTTCCTCAAGATCATGTACCAAGCATCTCAAATTGGCTTCCTCCGCAACCTTCTCATGGGAGACGGGCTCCTTCATACATCTCTCCAAATCAGCCTTGGCCTCCTTCAGCCTTCCTTCCAGTTCTCCAACCACTTCCTTATCCCACTTCCTCATTTTCCCCGCTATCTCCTTCAGCGCATGTGAAACCCCACCGTCCCTGCTAGCCCAGCTCCTCTCCCACGCCTCCCTAATCACCTCTTCGCACCCTTCTTCCTGCAACCACCGTGCTTCGAACCGAAACCCTCGGTCCCCCCCTTCCAACTCCCGGTTCCCTTCGTATCAACAATAATGGGCCGATGATCGGAATGCCTCGGCATCCCGTTGATGACCACGTACTCCGGGAACTTCTCTCGCCAGCTTCTATTCGCAGTTGCCCGATCTAATCTTTCACATATATAAGTGCTTAGATCCTTGCTATGGTTCCTCCAGGTGAAGATGTCACCCTCAAATCCCAAGTCCTCCAAAGCACAAGCCTCCAACGCCTCCCGAAAACCATCCATCATGTCCTGTGATCTGTCAGCTCCACCCACCTTCTCAATACCGGAAAGAATTTCGTTGAAATCTCCAAGGCATAGCCATGGACGATCCTGCTGGTGCTGCTGCTTGAGAAGGCGAAGTGTTCTCCATGTTTCTTTCTTTCTCTCCGTGGCCGACTCCCCATAAACGCCCGTCAAACGCCAAACTGTGCCATCCTCCTCCTTCACATCCACATCTACATGTCTCCTCCCATACGATCGAAGAGAAACGTCAAGCCCTCGCCGCCAGAACATAGCAACCCCCCGGCTCCTACCCACTGGGTTCCAGGCACACAAGTGATCCAACCCTAGCTTCCACTGAAAGCTATCCAGCTCCTTCTCCGTAAGCCTAGTCTCTGCCAAG